CTTCGCTTTACCTGTTGCATAAAGCTCAGTATCCAATCGTGTCACACACTTTTGCACTGGGATCTCGAACTGCAGACCAAACTGGTACGTATGACGGGGATGCTGAAGGAACAGCAGGTCATCTCGCGGGGCGCCCACTCTGACCGTACCTACCGCCAAGTCTCTACCGAGGTACTCTTCATTCTGAAGTGTGACCAGTGCCGGTCTACCAAAGATGTACTAATGGAAATCTTCAATCCCATCGAGAACAGCTGGCAGAAATTCAGCAACATGCCTCTCTCTAGAGATGCAACGACTGTTATCTTAAACAGTAAGTACCCCGCACTCCTCTAGGAGCCACTTATTTACCCTGCTGGCAGCAGTACCAGCGCAGGTACTAGCTAATAGAGCAGACGCACTACAGTTTTGCTGGTTGAACTATTGGCAGAACTTCATGGGTCTTTCCTAACTTTCTTAAATAAGTGTTACTTAAACGTAAAAAGTAGTAATATACCAAATGAAATTTTAGGGGATGACGTACTTTGCGTACGAAAGCCTTGTGAAGGGCGCTCCTTGAAAATCTCTCTGGCAAAATGCGTTTAGTGTCATGGTCCAGAAGATTGCCAACTGTTTGGCCTGCCTCGGCCTTTTTCATTACTGACAATCGGGCGGTAACAGTTAGCTGCGGTTAAGCAACTAAGTTTCATTGGCTGAGCGCTTTTTTTCTTTACTCAGACCTAATTCCTTACAGTCTGCGTCTCCAAACCATAAATCTGGAAGACTGAGCCGGCTTGACTGTTGAATTATTGAGCGGGTGCGCAAAAGCAGTTAAGGTTGAGCATCTATGGGCATCCCATGGTGGAGGTGATTACTGATTAAGCGTACCGCCGGCTGTGTTTGTGTGTCGCTCCTCGGTTCCACTCCCCCCCCCGTTAAAGTCGGCTCAGGTGAACATTTAATAGTGGAACTGGAGTGAAAATGTATTACACTGCTAGTTCGCAAACGCCTCGCCGATTTTAACCATTCATATTTCCTACATATTCTTGTTCATTTTCGCACAACAAAGCAACCTGCCACAATTGTTGCCTATTAACTAATTTTTATGCATTCCTGTACCGTTTCAAGGAAGTTTTTAAGGGCTTTTTTCATTTACGCCAAGTGTATTGACTGATATGTATGCTATCGAATGAAGTAGCCCTTGGCAATTCATGTCTCCTTCCTCTTCTCCACCCTCTGTAGATCGGATATTCGCACTGGAGTATGAATCAGATCAAATGTCTCTGGACATATTCGATGTCACAAAAAAACAGTATGAACGTCGCACCGCCGGCGACTTCCCAAGCTACCACTTTTCAGCTGTCGCAATCCATGACCACATTCTGGTCTTCGTTGGATCTAATAGCACTTCAGTCTGGTGGGCCTACGACGTTCCTTCTGATAAGTAAGTGATGTTGCTTGCTGCGTACAGTTTCTGATTTCCCATTCCGATCCCTCCGACTGGTTGTAGACTATGATAATTGGCAGAAGGACATTACCAGCAAAGACATGGGACACTAGGAAGGCCTTTTCTGCCTCATTAGGCGTCATCGGCTAGTGATTCCCAACCCCAGTGTGCCCGCTGAAGTTGCTGCCATACCGAGATTTGAACTCGCGATCTCTCCTGTCAGAGCGAACGTCCTAACGGTTGAGCTACGAGCTCACGGTCTAACTGGTATTAGATCGGGTATAGACAATGACATAGATGCGTACACCGATCTGTCAGAGGACCCACTCGTCCGTCCATATT